TCTATCTATCTATCTATCTATCTATCTATCTATCTATCTATCTATCTATCTATCTATCTATCTATCATCTATCTATTTATCATCTATCTATCTCTAGCCATTTTTCTCTCTCTCATCTCTATATCTATCATCTATCAATCATCTATGATTTATATTTATCGTCTATATCTATATCTATCTATCTGTGCATGTGTATATGTACATATGTATATACACACAGCAGAAGCCATTTTTCAAAGGACAAAGTCCAAAGGGGGATGAAAAGGGTATAAATTAAAATTAATTGCCTATAGTTGGTGGTATTTAAATAGTGGAAATAAATAAATAAAGATGGCCTGTATAATTAATTCTTCAATTCACATATGAAGACTATTCTCTCTTATAAGCAAACCACTCTTCCATATAGAAATACATAACTATACCCTCCACTTTCCATCCTTGATTGCTTAGGGGTTAAACACACAGAGAGACATACACAGAATTAAATCCAAGTCCAGCAACTTTTCAAAACATAAAGGTTGCTTACAGTTTTCAAAGTAGAATCGATGGAAATCCAGCCCTTCCACAAGATTCCCCAGAGCTTCTGGTTCAAATGCTGTCATTCCGGGGTCACACATTTTACTACAGATGTCCATAAAAAGGTAGAGGGGATCAAGAAAAATAATTATCTCACTACTCAAATTTACTTAGAAGCTTTTCATTAAGCTGATGAATATACAGTGAGAGTATAAAATTATACCCATCCATCAATGAAAAAGGGTGAGAAAGGGAATGGAGGTTGGCTAATATGTCCCAAAAGACTGTCCTTCACTGCCTCCAAGGATATTTATTTGTTCTTTCAATTAACTCATATAGCCACCCATCTCAATCTAATGGACTTTTGATTGACAAGACAAGGTCATTTATGAACATGGTAAGCACAGTGAATCTGAATTCAAAGAGAGGAGGTGGGGGGTTGCTATATGAATTTGGTTTGACTTGGGATCAAAGTCCCTTCCTCATATGTGGCATGGAAGGATCAGGGGCTCACTTTGAGAGAAGTGGCCATCCTTGTTAGAAGTACCTTGTACCAACCTACCAGTGGTGGGTTTCAAAATTTTTTAGAACCTCTTCTGTAGGTGTGGCCTGCTTTGTGGGAGTGTCTTGTTGGGCATGTGACCAGGTGGGAGTGGCTTGCCAGCCATGTGACCAAGTGGGAGTGGCTTGGCAGTCATGTGACTGGGTAGGCATGGCCAACTTGTAAAATGTGGTGAAACTCACTTAACAACGCTCTTGCTTAGCAACCAAAATGTTGGCTCAGAAACTCTGGCATTTGAAGCACACAAGTCTTAAAGCTGTCAAGTTAAAAGACCCTTGCTCCCCTAACCCTTTAGAAAAAAAACCCAGGGGTGTTCAAATTTGACAGCTTTAAGACTTGTGGACTTCAACTCCCAGAATTCCTCCTCTCGCTCTTACTTTGTGGGAGTGGCTTGGTGGCCATGTGACTGGGTGGGTAAAATGTGGTGAAACTCACTTAACAACGCTCTTGCTTAGCAACCAAAATGTTGGCTCAGGAACTCTGGCATTGAAGTGTGCAAGTCTTAAAGCTGTCAAGTTACAAGACCCTTGCTCCCCTAACCCTTTAGAAAAAAAACCCAGGGGTGTTCAAACTTGGCAGCTTTAAGACTTTAACGTTTAGATAGAACTCTTAGAGGCGGGTGGTGAGCCAGCCAATCATTGAGCTGCGGGCAGGGCAAGCATGGTGCGGATGGGCGGGGGCAGGGAGTTGGAACTGGTTCTAAATGGCACGGTAGATATGTGGAACCTCTTCTATAGAAGATGTTAGAACTGGCAGGAACCCACCCCTGCAACCTGTGTTTCTGTGTGTGTGTGTGTGTGTGTGTGTGTGTGTGTGTGTGTGTGTGTGTGTGTTCTATGCTGGAATATTGAGACATAGGTTGAGGGGTGTTTGCTTAGGGGTATTTTTTAGAAGGATGAGTTGAAAGTCTCACAGTGTTCTCAGACGCAACAGTGATCTGCTAAACGTCCATGCCAACTGTGTGATGGAAACTATCCTGCTGCTGGTTGACTTCTGATGCAATTTAAAGAGAAGGTTTCAATTCTCAAGCAGTAAATGTACTTGATCCACACTTTATTGTGTTTATTTAAATCTTCTAGATGGGAATTATTTGCTACTGTTTTGTTATTGGTTTATGATTTAAACCATTTAATAATGGTATTATTTTATATTGCTCGTACTGTACTGGCTATTCTTAAAAAGAAGGTATGGCAGACTTTATAGAACTATGTTTGAGAAATCCATTTTTAAAAGAAAATAAACCATAAAGTAACAATTTTAGTAAAGGGAGAATTGTTTATTTTCAATGTTTCCAAATAAAACATTCTGCTAGGGTTTTTAAATAAACAAAATGTATGGAAACTACTTTCTTAACTCATAATTACCCACCAAGGATATACCTTTGTAATTCATGGATGTTTTGCTACCATTAATTAACTTTTTTGTCTTTCCTTTTAATAATGAAAAAAAAAACCCATGGGATTACAAATGAAGGTCAATATTGTCAGACTCCACCACAATATTGCAAGAACGAGCAATTTGCCTTATTTGAATCATCTCTAGAAATGTTTCCCATTATTTCCATATGTCTTTCAAGATCTCTAACAATGATATGTTTGAATCACCTTGTTACTTAATTATTTACAGAATTAGTGGTTTTTGAATACTTGCTTTTTAAAAACTTCATTCTCCGGGATTAAAAGAAAAAACAAGGTCTTTATGCCCTATTCTTCATTAATACATTCATGCAGTGCATTCCCTCAGTCACGAATCATAATTTAGTCAGCAGTAACAGCTAAGATTTATCACTGGTCCTGAATAATCCATTTTTTTTTGTAATTATGATGGAAGATATTAAGAAGATAATTTACAATGGACAGAGAAATAGAAAGTTCCCGAAGTCCGTTTCTAACTGTGTTTTAAATACTAATCAAAGAAAGTCACTAATTTACTTGCTTTCATAGCAAGCTGACATTTCAAAATCAGCCAACATCACTATGCTGTTTTCCATAGATAAGGCATTTAGAATTACTAACTACACTCCTACACACTGGGCAAGCTGAGAGGAGTGTTTTTTCCCTCTATACAAACCAAAACACACAGCAGGTACACTCACGTGTAGGACTCAAAGTCCCCGTTACTTATTGCTTCAATCAGCTGTTCTGTCACCTTAATGATTTCCTGTTTACGTACTGTTGGATTTAAAACAAGAGAAGAGAAACAGTGAAACTATTGAATGGAAATTGACAATGATAAGAAATCCTTCTTAGAACTTTATGTCTGCTTCTGCTGAGCATAGGAAACACATAGAATGTGATTGGGCATAGAAATCAAATTTCACTATTTGGAGGATCCAGTTTCTACTTCTTACTGCTTTGAAGATATATTCAAATCTTTGGGACACCTCAGCAGCCATAGTGATGATAAATAATATCTTCTGTATCTTAGGGGTGGGTTTTCTGCATATTGAAAACTCTCTGAACCAGAATGAATTATGCAACGTAAAAACAACTACAGCAGCAATTACACAGAGCCAAAAATTAATGAGTGTGCTGTCTTTCACTTTAACATCTTTTAAAGGTGAGGAACGCAGCACTTCTGCACTACTGTTTTGTGCCAGGTGGAGATTGGTGTTGTCCCTCATTAACCTTATTTCACCTGGAATTCAGCTTTGGTTTTGGCTCTGTTTTGGTTTCTTTGTTTATTTAAGTACTGCAAAGCTGGTGCTTTTCTTTGCAGTTGTGCAAGTTGTGGGGGGTGGGGGGTAGTTCACCTCCCCATTGCATAAGCTTTTGCCTCATCTCACTTCCTAGCCCTGAGCTCAAGGCAAAAATCCATTATCTCCCAAGAATAATTTAGCATCATGTTTTTGAAATTTGTCTGTTCCTCTTTGCATTGTTTAGAACTCATCCCTCTCCCCCACCCCCAACCAATTACAGCTGCAACATGCAATTATGATCACAGCTATTGGAAAAAGCAACCAATAGCGAAATTGTACTTTCATTTCACCTTCACAGATGTTTAAATATAACAATAGCAGCAAGGCGGTTGGGAAGTGTTTGGACTATTTTAATGCTTTTTTTAAAAACAATTGACCTTCCCTTGAAGAACTTCTTATCAGACTTTTTTCCCAGAAGTCAGCAAACACAAGAACTTGTACAGAAAAATATGGATGGGAAGGCTAGTAATTTATTTTTCCATTTAGGGGTTACAAGAGTCATTCAGAAAGTGGAACACTCATTGAATTATCTTCTTTGAACCCTCCCAGGAGCGGCATGAAGAATAGGTGAGCATCAGCTGGCTGATAGAGCTCTCCAAACACAGGTTAGCCCCAGCTAATGATGCATCATAGCTCCAGGGACATAGCATCCATAAAGAAAAGATATAGGAAATGAGGAAAAGTAAAAAAAAAAATGTCTCCATTGTTTATGTCTGTTTTTTATCAGAAAGAAACTGACGCCCCAAAGATTACTCTAGTATCACTGATGGAAGGAAGGAGTTGCAGCTAATTCTAAACAAGGGGAAGATAAAAGCATACTTGGCAAATTTAAACAAATTCCAATCTCCAGGATGAATTACTAGGATGCAGAAGGATGTAGAAGAGATGGTTGCACAACTCCTGTAATCTTTCCTGGAAAACTGGTGACATCTCCCAAAAGTGGAGGCAAACAAAAGGTGTCCCTGTTTTAGAAAAGTAAAGAATATGTATGACTGAAGGAATTTCAGGCCTATTAGCTTGACTGAGTAGATTTTTTTAACAGCATATTTATCGGCACTTAGATAGAAATGAAACCATTAGCCAGAAACAGAATGGATTAATCACAAGCAAGTCATGTCAGACTATCTATACATTCTATTTAATTGCGTCATTACCTTAATAAACTGGGGGATTGCCATGGGCATAGTATTCCTTGACCTCTGCAACAGATTTGACAAAGTATCTGTTCTTCTTATTAATAAAATGATAAGGTAAAAGATATAACAGCCATAACTGGCTGAATGACCACACCCAGAAAGCACTTATCAATGGGTCCCCATCATTTTAGAGAATAGTATTAAGCGGAACGCCATTGGATCTGTTCTGGATCCTATGTTGCTCAATATTTGTATTATGTATCTAGACCAGGGCTTTTCAAACTTGCCAACTTTAAGGTACGTGAACTTAAACTTTTGTTGTTTATTTTAATGTTTTAATATGCTTAGATGTATAGTTTTAATATGGTTTTAAATTGTGCTTTAACTTTTGATATGGAGCCACCTAGAACTGTATAGAAGATGGGTGGCTACATATAGTAAACTCTCCATGCTGGCTGGGAAATTCTGGGAGTTGAGGTCTACACATNTACATATACATATACATATACATATACATATACATATACATAACCATGATGTAATAGTATGGATACAATAATGGAACAGAAAGAATGGCAGTTTCTTTAAAAAGAAAAGGACCACTTATTTATTTAATAAATGTAATTTTATTCAAACACATTAATGTAAGCTATAAAAAATTACCATGCCTCTGTGAAGGATATTAACAGAGGAAGAGTTACCTTTATGCTATCTTGGATCCATTTAAAGTACGTTAAAGTATATTTCATTCTAGTGAAAGCCCAATAATACATTAGTTCAGCTTCAATGTTGTACTTCTTAGAGCTTTAAATTTCAGATGCTGGGCACAGATAATGAACCAATACTGCATGTTCATATGTTGGATGCATTAACAATGGTTTTAACTGATGAAGTTTTTTTTACTATCTTCTTTAGAATGAATTTTTGAATCCATATTTAAATTGACACACCTATATACTTTTACCTGTGTACCAACAGAAGCGATAACAGAAATCAGCATAGCTTGGGACTGACTTACTGTGGTAAAACCGAAGGTGCTCCAGATCTGTGGAAGTGAACAATTTGCCATTTGCCATCCCGGCGGTGCCAGATTCGTGTCTCCTCCGATTGGGCAGTGCGTGGGATCCCACTTGTATCCACATACTGTGTGATACGAATGTAAGCGATGCAGGCAGACTCATCTCCCATTAAGTGGATATGTGGATTCAGGATGGTTGTGTGCACGGGCTTGCTGTTCCTGGACCACACTGCAGATGGGGGTGGGGGTGGGGGTGGTAATGTAAAAACATGCACTCCACATTAAAACACCTATGATTTTGTGTAAAATTTTGAGAATCACTAAGAATAACCTGTATGAATAGGGATTTAAATCTGTATGAATAGGGGTTTAAATGCTTCTGTTTAGCCTTTTTATTGACAGCCTTCCCTCATAGCAACCTCTCAGATTTTTTATACAAACAACCAGAGAACTGTAGAAATGTAATAGTAAATATATATACAGTTTCAACTCTAATTTTTGACTTCATGAAAGGAAGAGTAGATAGAATGCCAACTCTGTCTTAACAACCTAGAGTTACCAATTCTGGCTCAAAATATTGCTTGAAATTTTCCCATCTATATCTGTCTGTCTGTCTGTCTGTCTGTCTGTCTGTCTGTCTGTCTGTCTGTCTGTCTGTCTC